AAATTTGTGAAAAGCCATTTTTTTGTTCTTTCTTTCTGTGAGCGCGTGCAGTGGGCATCGGATACTAGAAGAAACCCAAGTATAGGGCGGGTTATAAACGCCATGGCGTAGCTCTGTGGTAACACCTCCGCTTCGCACGCAGCTGACCCGGGTTTTTTTTTCCGCGGGCGGAGGGCCATCTTTTTCGGGGATTCGGTGACATCGACGACGGACACCCTACGTCCTACAACGCCAACTGCAACGGCAAAACCCAGCGTCATTTGCAGTGGTGGGAAGAACCCACAACGCCCGCAAGCGTCAGCTTTTAGGAAATACCGCGTATTTGCGTCTGGCGATGCAGGTTCCCAAAATCTCAAATACCAAACGGCAAAAAAAAAGAGTGCCAGGAGCTCCAGAGTCCATTCAAGGAGTATATACTTTAAATTATAGACGTGTCATCACCAGCGTATCCCGAGTATTACATGGTAGGATTGGGGCGCACACAACATCCCGTGGCACAATAGTGTCCCGTGACGTAACAGTTTAACAAGACGTTATGGCCAACGTTTTTAGAACGTCATTAGATGCGCTCGGTTACGGACCTGCCCATAGACGATGCTTGATGGAGCAGTACCCCCCTTTCCCCCAACGGTTACCTTCCCGTCATTCGACGCGCCACCGTTTTGCAAACGACTGCTTGGGTAAGTGCTGCGTACGCTACGCAACGCGATGTTTTGAAGCACAGCACCTACACGGTGCTGTGCTAGGTTACGCTTTAAGTTTTATTGAACGTTAAATAACTTCGTAAAAAAAGTGAATCAAAACACCTATATGGACAAGGGGCATTGAGCTAGACAAAGGACGCAAAAACTCAACTAAACGCCTATATCCAAGAGAAAAAAGTTGAAAAGACGCTTGATGCTTAACAAAGCCGGGACGGACACCAAAGCGTTTCGTGTCTTGGAGGGGGCGGAGCGGAAGTGGGTTGGGCGATCGAAAAGCAGCCTCACACGTCCACGTCCAGAAACAGTTTAAATCCGTCTCCACACACACACGAAAAAAAACAAAGTGTTTTAAAGGCGCACTTCAAGTGACGGATCAGCAAATATTTATCCAGAACCAAGCAGTGCGCTCCAAAGCGGACGATGTAGAAGGGGAAAAAAGAAGCAAATTTTTAAAAAGAGGTTTCGCTCAAAAAAAAAAAAAAAAAGGCGGACAAACGCACAAGAAATATTTTTCTTCCGCGAATAAACGAGATAAAAAATAGTTAATGTGAGAGATTTCAGCTTATATAGCGACAGCCGGAAATGCTAGCCTGAAAAGAAATCTGCCAGTTTAACAAAAAAAAAAAAAAAAAAAAATACCCCACACAGTAATTTTTTTTTTTTTTCCGAGACAACCCGAAACGAGGTTCATAAAAAAAGTTGCGAAGAGTGATATAAATAACTGAGCGCGCTCGTTATTAAACCTGGCGATCTATTGAATTCTAGAAACATATCTGAGTGTTCGTTGAATGAAGTAAAGTGGTCAAAATTACACAATAGAACTAGTACTCACAAAAACGTTTTCCTCGATGTGAGGATGAAACTGGGGCTTTATCGATTTCATACAGTTCAACTGTTCTGGGAACAAGAAGTTAGCACATATTAATTAAAACCTTGTTTTTCGTTTAAAATATTACTCTTCTTTGACCCGAAGCTGCGGTTCCCGCCTGTATTTTATTTCAGCCTTTCGATGGCGTTGTTTTGGGTCAGTGAAGTGGTATAATATAATTATTTTCGCTTGAGAAACAATAATTCAGATTATTCTGCGTCAGTTATTTTTCGGCAACAAGGTAAGAAGGCTGCTGTGGAAGAGTTGGAGCTTTATATCGGTACACCCGAACGCTTTTGAATGCAAAGCGACTCTATGAGGTTTCTGAAGGAGCGTCAAAATAATTTGAACGCGCGGGCGTTGTCAAAGAAAAATTAATCATAAAAACTAACAATCAATAATTCGTTAAACAAATTCTTAAAATAACATAAACGCAAAGGACGCAAAAACTAGAACAAAGAAAACACATAAAATGCAAAAAAAATGTTTTAGCGCAGGTGAGGAGATAACAAACAATTGGAACGGCAAAAAAACTAAAAAGGAAAAAAATCCATCCTAAGTAACCAAATATAGAAATAGCGAGCACAATTTAGGCCACCTAGTAAGTTTTCAAAAATATTTCGACGTGTTGAGAAGACCTAAAAAAATCGGAGTACCAGTGTATCCTATTGGCGCGTGTTTGTAAGCTTGTGTGGATGAAAAAAAAGTGATAGTCGCCTTAAGAAAAAACAAAAAAAACAAAACAATCGAAAAATAAATTTTAGGGAGGAGGGGGGCAGATAATTTAAGAATAAAAACAGCTTCTCATGCGAGAGCGAGAGAGGGATCAAGTGCATGTATGTGCACCTACTAAAAGAAGAACCAGTGGCATAGGAAGGAGCTTGACATCTCTAGAGAACGTTGGAGTCGTAAATAAAAAGTAAACAATGAAATGTAAACCGAAAAAAATACAACAAAAGATACAATTACACACAAAAAGTTCAAACAATATGTCTCAAAGAAACAAAAAAGACCGACTTTAGAGATGCAAGAGAGCAACTAACCCATTGATGATATGAAACAAGAAACATAACCGCCAATGATGTTGGCATATAAAATACCGCTTAATGAAAACGTCAAGTTTATACCGGATATATATTGATTTATATACAGAATTCATACATTGCCTCGAAGGTATTGCATTCATTCTATCCAGCCAAAACCAAATTGCTAAATTTAAAAAAAAAAAAAAAAAAAAAAACGCAACACTGAAAAGATTTTTATTAATGTTGAAGTAAGTTAAGAAAATGAATGTAATGAAATCTAGCATAAATAGACCTTCAGCCCTGGCGTTCGTTCGTAATTTTAGTTGTATTCTTCCTTTTAGGGAACTAAGTACGCTGAAGGTATTTTTTTACATCCACTGAGAGCTCAAATATGACAAGCCGGTTGTCAGTTCAAGCAACTACCGGCAAAAGGGGCCGGTTTCTGATTATTCTTCACTGGTGAGAGAGATTGATCTTAATGGCATGTCAACAGCTGGCATACTCCTCTTGTTTTGAAATTAGGAATTATTGCAAGTCAAAAGTGCACTTCTTAATGCTGGCATTTATTTTAAAGTAACTTAATATAAAACAAACACCCAACTTCATTCAAGCAAGGGGGACAACATAACCGTCTCTTTAGTAAAAAAAAAAAAAAAAACTACTAAAACAGTAGCTCTTAAATGAGATATTTAAAAAATTAAATAAGTTCCTGGATGCCTCAAATTGAGCTGATATGTTTTTATACAATAGTTAATATACTTTTTAAAACAAAAATTGCGCGAATGGCACTGTTAACTAGAAGCCTTACTCAATACGTAACTGTTGCTGTTAACGATTTTACTTGATCATGTTATTAACCAGGTTCGAGTTTCAGTCTGCGAGCCTACAGTTTGTTGTCCATCTGCCATATTACTTCTCTTTACAAGACCATTCTTACCAGTTAAATCCCGTGGCTGAAATTCCAGTCAAGATAGGAAGATATTCATAGCCGACCTACGGAAGGAGACCTTGAAGGAAGCATTCTGTTTGTCTCAATAAGGTACAGCCGAAATATTCTTAAAGGACACATTCAAGGTAAAAAAGAAAAACAAATTCTAAACTGCATGGTTGAGAGAAGGAAATAAAAAAAAAACGAATTTACTACGCAAAAAAAAATTTAGAGCTATATTTACGGCGCGATATAAATTTGTAGTTGGCGCCCGCGGGCGCCGCAGAGAAGTGGCCGCTATTTATCACTTGACTGGCCGCTATTTGTCACCTAGTGCTTCCGCTCTTTCGCAAGCTTCCTATGGTCTTTAAAAGTTACTTATTCATCTTCGCTTGAAAGCAGCAAAAAAAAGAGAAGATGAATAAGTAACTTTTAGAGCCCAAAGGAAGTTCCTGGAAAAGCGCAGGCAGACGTGACAGACCTGCGCCCCGATCAGATGACGGCGGCGGCGCCCCGGAGCAGACGAACTTGCGAGGAGGCGGCGGCGTGGAGAAACGCGTTGAACCGGCGACGCACCGCGCTTGGCGTGCGGCGGCGGCGCAGCACGACGGCAAACAGGTCTACCACGTGACTCGCGGCGGCGGCCGCAGGCGCCACCTACAAATTTGTTTTGCTCCGTTAATATAGTTCTAAATTTTTTTTCTTCGTTGTAAATTTGTTTTTTAACCTTCTTTTTTCCATCTGAACTTTTTAAAAAATAGTTTTTTTACCTTTGCATGTATCTTTTAAGTCCCCTGATCTAGCCAATTATCTTAGCGAGACATCAGCAGCCATTCCGAAGCTCCCACAAGCTCTATTACAAGCTCTGGTCGCAAAGGATGAAAAAAAAAAAACCCGGTTCCTTGCTGATTCTTGCGAATGAACTAACGAAACCCGAAACACTGGTAAGTGTTGCGCCCATTTACACTGCCATGGTGAACTTTAGCGGATTTCCATCACGCTAAATTTAGCGGATCGTGTTCATGCGACACTGTGGCATCATGTGGCACCATGACCTCTTGTGACACTAAATTCCGCTAAATCTAGATGAAAACATTTCTCACAAAATGAGACGAGAAATGTGTTCCCCCTAATGTTTACGATATAGCGGAACAACCTGAACTCTATATTTCGCAAGAAACTTTTGCCACTGTGACGTCACGATGTGGCAGCACTGTGGTTCTTCGCAAATTTTGGCAGAGAATTGTACCCTTAAATTTAAAACAATTTTACCGCTAAATATATTAGAATTATTGCAACGTAATGTGAAATGACGTCTCAATGTCGCGACACGGTGATCCCCCCCCCCCCCCCTTAAATTTAGCGGAGGATATTTTTCCGGTGAATTTACCGAATCATTTCTTAAGTACACGAAGCATACGCAAGATTGGCTACAAAAGAAGACTTAAAAGAAACTATCACCATAAAAAAAAAAATTAAAAAAGGATTTTACCGTTTAAGACGTGCACGACGACGCTGGTTGAGTCCGCGTTCGACGGGCCGCACTTGTATTTGTCCGAGTCCTGCGGTTTTGCGTTGCGGATGAAGAGGCTACTGACGTAGGCGTCCTGGCCTCGCATGCCGCCCGAGATGTGCCCGGGTCCATTATTGGCCGCGTCATAGTTGATAATGCGGTCGTTGTGGTACCAGAACACGAACACCGGGGACTCCAGGATGAACAGCTCGGGGACTCCAGGATCTGGGCCCGGGGCACTGCGGTGCGAGAGGGACATTCACGCACCGTCAGTCGCGTCGCCGTCATTCAGCGGGAAGATCAGAGTGCGTTCACACTGGAGGGAAAGATCGCGTGCATATTGCGAACTAGAGCATGTGTTTCTTGGCGTGGAATTCGGTTAAACATTTTCGTACGCCATCTCGATTATTGGGTCGAGTGCTGTGAGAGGCACCACATCACTACGTCCGAACTATGGTGCGTTTAGATTTAAGAGTTTTCCAGTTGCTCGGTCGGAGTCACGTGGTTTGTGGGCGGAGTTTGCGATACAAGCTGCGACGGGCAGTCAAAAGCATCAATCCTCTGCGAACCTCTCGGCCCTGCTACGTCTCTTCGTCGCCGCTATCCCCCTCCCCATTCGAATACACTTGCATGTGCAGAAGCACCCAATCTGCCCAGGAAGCGCCTGCCGTTATACCCGTGCCACACAGCCAACTCGAATGCTATTAACAACGAATGACATTTGAACGATCGGCCAATCAGCGCGCGACACTCCGAGTGTGGGCGTTCGACGCGCGACACATCGCAATCCGATTCGTTGATCACGCGAATATCATTCGTTGTAAATGGAATTTGAGTTGCCCGTATGGCATGTGTATTAGATTGCAAACGTTCACCATTACTCAAGTTGGCCCCTCCCTTAAATCTATGCTATCCTATGCTAAACTTGGCTTTTGAATGGGCTTTTGTTTACCGAGCACTTGTGCAAACATAGCATTCCGTAAAGTCCGACTTAGTCGCATTTAAATCTATAAGCGTTGCATCATGTTTTTTTTTTCATTTGTCTAGTGCTGCAACATGCCAAAAGTATCTAAAAGATTTTTTTCCTCTTTTTGTTTTTATTGGGGATAAACTACGATTGTGACCACACTGTTGTGTATTTTATAAACTACTGTATATTAAAATATATATGATCCCTTTCATTTAAGTGGTCCTAAAACTCTAAATTAAGTTGTTATTAGCATAGTTTCCTGCTTTGCTTTAGACTTGAAATGCAAGTGCTTAAAAAGTGTAACTGAATTTGCGGTTATGTCTTTTTTTTAGCTGCAAGTGCATTGAGACTATCTGTTGTCAGGTGGACTATAAGGCTTTTTTGTATGTATACCAGACTTTGGCAATTCTTAACTCACTTAAGTTTTTCTGAATGCATATTATATCTGGCAATGCTTAATTTAATTTATTATGGTAACAAATACATTTGTCCACTAATAGTTAAGATATTCAGGCAAAGCCCATTTAGCAATATTTTTTTAACTTTTTAAAACAAAGCTTATGCGTTCATTGCGAAGCTATAGATCTTGTAACGCTTACCATTTTATAGATGTGAAGAACACCAGTGCTTGAAAATCAATTCTTCGAAACACTGATTTTAGCAGTAAACTAAAGCAAACTAGGAAACACAGAAGATCTATCTAGGTCAAACGGGTAGCCGGAAAAAAAATCCCAATGCGATCTTCTTCACTGAAGACATCCTTCCGCGTTTCAGCGAAATCAAGTCTTCTTCTCCGCCTTTCAGTGCTTCGATCTTTCAAAAGCCGGCTCTGCGGGAATTGACGTAACTTCCTTTTATTTTTCTAGACAAAAGAGACAAACATTACCAATCTAAATATTCAAAGAATACGTACTAGTCTGAACAAAAATTTATGCAAGTAAAAATAAAGACAAAGCATGAAGGAGTCGAGGCGAACAATTTAATTTCCTTTGCCGCAGGACAGTGCCGAGAAGAAAGAGGAGAACGACTGGAAAAAATATAATTTAAACCCTCGTTCTTCGCACGCCCACAATATACTGTCACAAAGAAACGAAAGTATTTTTCTTTTCTTTCTTAAAGTGTCCCTACCGAAGAACAGCTTTGGTTGGGACTAAAATGCTTCCTGAATATTTAAATCGGTGGAAGTGTTTAGCTAGAACCGCCCTTTTTCTTAAAATAAAGGATAGAACTAAAAACTAGAGCAATGCTAATAATAGGTCGAACCCTGTTCATTTGTTGTTGCTCTTATAAAAAACTATAAAAACAAAAACTAAGTGTAGTGCTTTAAGGTGCCGGACGTTCAGTGGAGGTGGAGCTAAAGAATAAGGATCGGATCATCGCAAAAATGCAAAGAAACCGTCAAGTAGCTTACCTCCTCCTTTGTACTATCGTAGATAAAGAATGATAATAATATACTACTACATACGTATCTAAACATTCTACTGGGAGTTCGAGCACGCCATCTTATGAAGCCGCTCGGAAACACGATGCACAATGTCATGTCCCGCGATACTTTTTTAGAAACATTCTTCATCTGTCAAATATATCGTTTTTTTTTCTTTTGCTATTTCGGAAACACGTTCGTCCCTGTTCTTTGCTTTTGTTGTTTGATCAATACGCAGATATTCGTTTACTGGGTATGAGCGACGTAAAACACAAAATAACAACACTGGTTCGGTGCTAGGCATCTATAGAAAGAAGATATGAATTTTTACTGTAAATATCTGCTTTTCGAAACCGGTGCAAAACATGACAGCTTCGAAGAAGCCTTATGTCCTGTCGTGTCAATCCTGCCAATATAAGACCGGCTTTCCCGAAATGGCAGTTGAAGTTCAAGGTCAGGGGATTCGGAAAACAATCTACGCATCTGCAACAATATTGTCCCGACCTGAGCTGAACAAAATAAATAAAAGGAAAAGAGACGTCTTTACTGCGCTCGTCTATAAATACATATACCCATATATTATTTGCGTCCCGACATTGGAAGAACGTTTGCAGGGTTTGTATAAAAACAGTGCTGTTGTATTTAAGTCTTTTTTCAATTGTTGTGAATGTCGTACCATATAGTGATCCAAAGGAAGCTCTTTTTTATTTGCGTATTTTGGTACCCATAATGCAGCAAGTTTAGGGAGTTGTAAAAATGTAACTTTGATTGCAGCAATTATGTAGTAGAAGAAACTTGCGAAGATAATATTTGGTTTTCTAATTTGGCATTTCCTTAAAAATGAACATCTGAGCACATTTTTTTGCTAGTTCACAGGCTTATACTACTCAAGCCCAGACAAAAACATAAAGTTTTACTTGTCCAGAAATTGAAATGCAATTGCAAAACAAAAAAAAAATGCAAGCATAACTTTTAATACCTTACTTATAGTCCGCTGAGGGTGTGAAAGGAGTGACGTCTCCCATCCTCCAATGGCTGCATAGCTTCAGCCGCACACTCATCTAATGTCCCTCCTTCCTGAAGACTCCCAATACGAAAAAAAAAAAAACTGGAGGAGAGAAGGAGAAATGAGCGCTCGGTTTGATCAGAGCGCCGACCTCAGATTGGAAGGATAGTTAGAAGACTCACGTGCTTTCTGCCCTTTGTCTATAACCGCCGTCTCTCTCAAAGTACAGCGAACGAGCGCGTCATCTGCTTCTCGAGCAGGATCTGGGGTTCGGCATTCGGCGTTCGAACACCAGACCCCGGGTTCTGCTTTCTGTGTTTGAACGCCAGAACATCTGCGAGGAGCTGGCGACGCTTTTGTTCGCTCTGCTTGGAGGCAGAGATACAGTGTGCGAAAACAGCTAGCCTCTGTGCCTTCCCCCTGTCCTTCCTAACAAAGCCGGGCGCTCTGACGTCATCGCTTGCTCTCGTCCCCTCCTCTCCCTCAGTTTGTCTCCGTACATTCTCCCTCGGGGTTCTCACCGAGCACGGTGAGGCGCACGAAGTAGGAGATGAGCGGGTGCATGTTGATCTGGCACTCGTAGTCGCCGGCGTCCGTGGGCTGGGCGCGCTTGATCTGGAGCATCCAGTCCTCGGAGCGCTCCATGTGTACCGCCTGGAAACGCTCGTCCGCGGTGTACGTGGCCAGCGCCACCGTGAGGACGTCGAAGTCACGTCGGCGGATCCAGGACACCTGGCGAACAAAAAGTCTGAAATTAGTTTATTTGAAACATTCTTTTTAGATTGTTGGTACCTGTTTATGATTGTGTTTAATAAGAAACGTAAACCCGTATTTTTTCTTCTTCCCTATATAGTGACTCCATGAATCTTTCATAGAACCCATCACATGAATCCGGTTTTTGTTTTCTCTATGCGACGGTAAGTCGAAGAGATAACAAAAATGGAGTCTTAAACCCCGTTTCATCTTAAGTCCAAACGCAGCCGATGCTACGAGCTAATGGGTCAATCAGACAGCGTCCAAAAGCGCCCCATCAGGGTGTTCATCAAGCTTATGTACGAGTTCTGTCAACGCTCAAGCAATCGTGTACAGGAAAGGCCTACTGGAGCTACTTGGTTGGTCCCATTAGCTTGCAGCGTCGAACGCTACTGAATTTAAGCTAAACCGAATTATGGGCTGTATTTTCGTGTGGATTAGTGTGGACTGCCCGTCGGGCATTATCAGTTTGGCATTTTTTTCTCAATTCGAAACAGCCGGGAACCTGCATATTCGCTAAAGGATTAATTGCCACCGAGCAAAAGCCGAGTGTGAACACAGCGCTTTTGCAATAAGTAACCGCTCGGATGATGTTGACACGAATAATGCAAGGGTGTCGCCAGGCATTATAATTGGTAACCGCTTGAAGCCGTCAAAAAGCCCTAGCAGAGGTTAGAAGTAGGACACTCTTATTGTATAGAATTCAGAATGACGACACATTCGACAAATTATTTTCGCAATCTACGCACTAGTCTTTGAGCCTCCGAATAATAAAATAACTGTTAGTAACATTTTACCATAAAATCGTTTTCGTTTAAAAAAAAAATAATAAAGCCACTACTTACACTTAGTATCACTTGTCTCACTTGTCTCTTCTGTAACGTATTGCGTTACTCTAGCGGAAAAGATGTGCCAGAGAATGAGTGCCATATGAACCCTTCGCCTCTAGGGAGCGATCAGTCCAGACATCTCTGTCGAGGGAACAAGCACCACTCGGTCTCTCAATGTCGCTGATCCATCAAATCAACTCGACACGTTCATCCGGCGTGTGGCGAATTAGAACTCGAGTCGTGGACAGAACTGCGCCACGACAAACCCGTACGCATGGGAGCCCACACGCTTCATTTTCAGTCTGCAGTTATATTGTGGCACATATTGGGGCATTGTATCGCATAAATTGGACATTCAACTCACTGCTTTTTCGTGATCACCTCTTCCATGCGTAAAAGCAAATTTATTTTTCGAAGCAGGGATTAGAGGTTAAAAATGTACTATTATGAATGAAACAAAAGGTAGATAAAGAGTGCCTTTATACCCACCAGTCTAAAAGTTGCATGTGTAGCCTGATCCAATCTCGCTGGTCGAAATTTGATTAAATAAAATGCAGATACACTGAGTGAGTTCGCTGAACTGCTCCCAAATATTCTATATCGGGATATTTAACGGCGTTCGAGAGTGTGTAAAATCTTATATTTATTTTTCGCCTTATCGTCTTGTCCTGCGTTCTATGTTTGAGCGTACAGCCGTCCTTTAACGTTAAAAAATACGTGTGTGTACATCACACTAACTAATAAATATTTTAAGCATTTTAGGCAATAAATAGACAAGTTGTTTATTAAAAAAAAATTATTATCGCCCTTAGTTTTGTTTTATTTAATTTTGTGTAAAATATAACCTACGAAATATGCTTAAAAATTTTGATTAATATTATATGGTAAAATTCCTTACTTTACAAATAATTATTATTAAGGCGTTCGTTCACTTTATCTCTCTATTTACCGTTTATAGTTTACCCGTGCCTTCATATAACCATCAAAAACTGGTAGAAGGTATTCATCTAAAAAAACGCAAACTGCTGCAACCACGACGGCAGCGCGCGCGTTTTAGGCACAATTCTGCTCTTTCGCTTTTAAACAGTGACGCTGTAACACCACGACACTGCAACTTGTCGAGAAGATCAGATTCTTTTCAGCACCAGAGACACTCGAAATTTCGCTCCATCCTGCAACCATCTATTGCCTCACTCTGCGAATCTATGAATAACACGCATAGAGCAAACAGTTCCCTCTAAACAAGCACCGTCTTGACAGGCAAGCATATTCCTCTCACGTATCACCCTACATCGCCGTTGTCTTTTCACAAAAGCAAACACAATTTGTTATAATATCTTTTTTTTTTTTTCGTCGCGTGTAAGTTTGGAAGGCAGCACAAGGATGATGCCACTTCCGCTGACCTCGATATCGCTGGGCCGCTGCGGAGTGCATGAGCGAGAAACCCTTTCCGGAGAACAAAAAGCGACCAAAGCGGGACGGCAGGCTTTGCGGCGAAGCCTCGTTTGGAAATCCAGGAGAGCAAAACGTTCGCACGTTTCGCGGACGTGACTCGGTCCAGAGTGCGACGACAGACAGTTTGACCTGCGCCACGTTCACGCACTTCTCTCCAAGTGAGAGGCTTAGGTTGCCGTTTGGTCGATTTCAAATATCGGTTCTTCTAGTTGCACTTGTTTGCTTTCTTTTGTTCAAATACAACAAACAGGGCGATCTCGGACCCGAAGTTTTTTGGGGATAGCATCGTTTCCATGTGTTCTGGGGACCATCACACTAAAAGCTCGGTGCATTGCTGAGGCGTCGATTTTCGAGGATCATTCAATCGTTGGCACGGTTTTTCCGTCTTGTCTTTCCGAGCAGCTCTTTCCGAATCTGCTTTTGTTTGACCATTAAATGCTGGTATCCGGGATATATTGTAAGAAACCTATGGTGAAAAGGACATAGTGAATTTTTTCAACGCACAGCGAGGAGCGATAACTTTTGCATGAACGATGTCCGAAGTAGCACTTTACTAGATGAAATTAATCACGTGTTTAACCGGACAAACTGCAAAAGTTTGTCACTTAGCCATACAAATGAATAATATAATTTATAAGATAATGAGGTGTACAACATAATGTGCTTCCATCTTGGAGTGCACGGCCTGCTTTTTGATGACATTTGTCTGTAATTTGTGTTTCAACCTAATAAATATTGAACATATTTTTGTGGTTTATTTTTTTATTTGCTTGCTCGCATATAAAATAGCTGGCAACTTAATTCGGTTCCCTCGCGTACCTGAAAACAATTACCTGTGCTGCTTTAAATACCCCAATCAATTAAATAAGCAAACACGTGTTACCGCAGAGTAACATTCTAGTAGCCTGATTGCAAACGAGAACATTTCCATAATTAATCCTCGAAACCGTAGACGTTCGCGCATATTAATTAATTTCAAGGCATGCAAAGTAGCTTATCGCTGCAGGCTAAAAGCCCCGACGCAGAGAACAATATTTTGTAAGAAAAAAAAGCCTGTTTATTATTATACAAAACTTCAGTTAGCAACCCTGTGCAGTTTGAAGCGTTAGTTCCTTCGTTCTTAAATGGGGTAACGAGGACGGTGTTCCCTGGCGTCTCTTAGAAATTTTAGATGACGTCATCTCACTGACATGCTGTTAGAGTAATTATAGCGCTAAAATAGTGATAGATGACAAGCTTTAATTGTTTTTCTTTTATACTGAACAATTATTTTCACAAAGTTTCTCAATTGTAAGGATGCCTATCTGTCTTTATATGAGCTCATATTATATTACCACGAGAACATGAAGCAGCTCTTGTCGCAAAAAAGTTGGCGTTGGTTGTGTGACGAAACAATTCTGGTTGGTCGATAGGGTCGTGACGTCACAGCAACATGACCTCGAGCGGGATTTTCAAACAACCCACAACGCACACGTGAAACGTGACGTCACGCGTGGAAAGAAACTGATTAGAGTATGACATGTATTGCGAATGAAAGATCGCTCCATGTTTCAAATGATTTCACTTCATCAAGTAATGAATTTGCTTTACAGAAATATTTCAAGAATTTTAGGCGAGACTCAAACCGATAACCCTTCGGTTGCGAGCCAGACAGGCTACTGATTGTGCCACGCAAGGCAAGGAGAAGGGGATGCGAACGGGTTCCGGTAAGACTATTGCGTTCCACTCTTAAAGGGGAAGCTTTAGCGTCTTACGAGTTTTATATTTTATCTGGAAACTTTGACCTGAAATATTTTTGTGTCTTAATCTCAAGCCAAAAACAGATTCATTCAAACGACTATTCTACTTTTTTTTGGTGAAATCTGAGCTAGATTACTCTTCTTCCTTGTGGTCTTCATTTCAGTCATACATATCCAACAATTTAGATGCCGTTCAAAATAGAGCTTTTGTTTTAATTTGTTGTGGCTTCTTTGTATATACCAGTATATCAGGCTTACTGCGGTCAGCTAACCTAGACAAACCTTCTCTCTGCCGCAGTGTGTCCCCCGTCTCTCACTCTTCATTAAATTTTAATCACACTATCCGTAACAGAGAGTCTTTATTCTAACCTCCTCACCGTGTTTTTTTTATAAATAATATTAATATATTTTCGCAGTCACCACGTTCTCCCTTTCTACCATCGTAAAGATTTTATAGGTTTAATAACATGTTCATTTTGTAATGGTTGCTATTATCTGTTATACGCACATTTCCTTCTATAATGCCCATTTGGGTCCTCAACAAAAATCAAGGATGATGTTGGTGATAGTTAAAGGACATATGCAAAGGGAAAAAAAAAACATTTTTTTCCTTTAACAACCTAGATAAAAGAAAAAGTCATCGAACAAAATTTACACAAAAAAAAGCATATTGAAAGTTATATTTACGGGGCGAAACGAATTTGTAGTTGACTTCCGCAGGAACCCGCGGAAAAGTGGCTAGTAGCAGTCACGTGACTGGCCACTATGGTCACGTGGTGCTTGAGCTTTGCGGGGGCTTTATATGGGCTCTAAAAGTTACTTATTAATCTTCGTTTGAAGTCAACAAGAAAAAGAAAAACGAATATTAAAGAGTAACGTTTAGAGCACAACGGAAACTCCTGAAGGAGCACAAGCACCACGTGATAGATGTGTGCGCCGCTCAGAAATGGACGGC